CTTCACCTAGAGATGCTGCGCAAAGCTTAAGAAAATGGTTTTTCAGTGGATGCTCACCCAGGTCAGTAAATAACTGACTCCCTGTGGAAATAGCCAGATCTCGTTATGCTGTAGTTCACGTACGGTAAGTCATTTTATTAAATCAACCGCGCGAAATGAGTCGACTAGAGCGATTTACAAATTACTGGAACAAAACTGCAGAAACCTAGACTCTGCTTTAGTCTGGGTGTCAGTGAGATTTCACGCTACTGAGTAGAGCTCTCTAAAGCTCCTATTGGCCTTAGGCAACTTAGAACTTAGTGCAGCAATCTTCCCGACTCTTAAACTTCAAAACCGCATAGTTATATGTAGTGGCCATCATGTAGATCAGCTGGTGGGAGAGAACAGAACAGGACAGTAAGACACAGGCAGTGAGGGCCGGCGCCCTGGTGCTCCTCGCCTCGGGCGGGGCTGGGCGCCGGCTCAGAGCCTAAGGTGGCTCTTTTGTCACATTTCCGCTCACAGGAGGAGCCTTCCCTTCCGGGCCAGCGCGCACACACGCTGCTGGGCGTGTCCCATACACTCTAAGTGCTCTGCCGTCCTCTCAATGCGTTTATGGAAAAGACTGGATGTGTTTAAAGAGTGACGAGAGACAGCTGGCTCGGCAGTAGGAGAAAGATGAGGTGGAGAGCCCTCTCATCTTCCCTAGCCGCCCGCTCAGCAACCAGGCCCAGAGAGCAGGTCACCACCAAGCCGTGACCGGTGCTGCTTTCCCAGCTGGGATGGGACGGGATGATGTCACGGCTGGAAAAGATGGGAAGGGTCTTCTCCGTGCACGTGAGCTTTCCCCTCGCTCTAGCCATCTCAGCTTTCTGGAAGCCCCAAGGCCAGCCCTCCCCCGTTCCACACACACACACGCCTGTGTGGTTGCAGAGTCGGCATCTGTGTCTGCTATAGTCGCTCTGTCACTCCCACATCTGTGCTGGGGCTCAGGCTCGGCCACGGTCACGGCCGTTCAAACAGGCAGAGTGTGGGGAAACACGTGAGTCTCCAGGGTGACACCCTGCCGCCTTCCTGCAGCTCTCAGATTGGAAACAAGTGTCCTTTTTGCAATCTACTTAGTACCCTGGTTTCTGCATTTCTGTGATTTTGCCCTTTAAATATTCCTTCCTCGTGTGCTGAAGGGCAGCCTAGCGTTCCGAGGGCAAGAAGGCTGCGCGGGCTCTGACGTGTGGCGTTGGAGGCGTGCTGCTGGTGGCCGGGAGCCCACTACATACACACTAAAGCTGTCTTTAAACAGGAACAAACTGATCCCTATGGAGCCTTGTTCTGACCAAAAGATATGGTGATGCTGAGGCTGGCAGGAACCGAGCTGTGGTCCCCTGGGAGCAAGGGCTGGGTGCTCGCCCGTTCAGGGTTCAAGGAGACCCTCCAGCACAGAGCTGCTGGGCCCACTAAGGTCCACTGACATGGACAGAGGCCTATATGCGTGTTTCCCGTTGGAAATTAGGATTTGTTGGCAAAGGAATGAGTCATGTCTCACGGGAGCATTTCTCCACGACTGAAGCCATGAAAGGAAGGGCTCAGTGGGCAGCCATGCACCATGCCCTTCCTGTTAACGTGTATCCTGGGGTTGGTACCCTCTCTTCCTTCCACAGCATCCCAATGTCATCACCTACAGTTGATGCCAAAGACTCCCCCACCCTGGTGCTTCCTGCAACCTAGACAGGCGGTAAGTTTGCACAGGGGCGTTTACCCAAGGTCGAGCCCCAGGAGGGATGGCTGGAAGGGAAGCCTCTTGTTAAAGGGACTGCAGGGAAGGGGGGACTACACGGGCCCGTCCCGGGGCCACGACTCACCAGGGCAATGACGGTGGCACCAGCTCCTGCGCAGGCCACGATGAACAGGTGATAGGACATGTAGAACTAGGAAAGAACAGGGCACCGATGTCAGCGTGGTACAGGGAAGGAGAGGGTCTCCACCTTCCCTGGCCACGGCTCCTTCCGTCTCCCTGGGACTGTCCTGGAGGCGGGGTGTGGGCGCATGCGCTTTAGGCCAGGTTCGCAACCCTGGCATCACTTCCTGACGCCCGGGCTGTACCCGCTTAGCAGCCGGGGGCGAGGGCTGTTGGGGGCCTGCCTGTGCGGCCCGGTGGTGAGCCAGTCCAGGTCGTGGCTAGACCCGCTCACCAGCGGGGGTGGGGGGCGCCCTCATTATTTCTGTAACTCATTGCTTTCCAAAGCACGTTCAGATTCTCTTAGGTACGTCAGTTCCCACTCCATGCATTGGGGAATGTTCTTTTATAAACAGTTAGAAAGCAATGCCTGAAAAATATTCTCGGGCCGAGAGCTTTTAAAGCAAAGTGTGCTAGCGTTTACTGCCGACGAAGGATGAGCACGAGATTGGAGCACCTCCCCCTGGAACCCTAAGTGAAATGTACTTTCTGTCCAAATTCCAGGGGATCTTTTCTCTGAAAAGTGGCCTGTGCTCTGTGACACAGGTCCAACTTTGCAAAACTATCTCAAGGTAAAAGAGAAGCCTTTACGTGTACTTTCCAAGATGCAGGACTGGTGCACTCTCAAATCACTGCCACAAGAGAATGCACTCTGATTTAAAGGACCCTCACTCCATGGGCAGGGCCATGTGACAGGGCCCTTTCCTGGGTCACCGACAGCTGCCGGGAGACCTAAGTGCGCGCTGCTCGGCCGGGGCCCCCGCGGGGCGGCTGTACCTCGTTGGTGTTGCAGATGCTCTCGAGGGCGAAGCCGCACATTCTTCCTGGGAAGGCGTTCCAAGGAATGATACCTGCGGGGTGGGTCGCGACAGAACGTGAGTCACACTGCGCCTCCCGCGGCCCGGCTCGCAGTGCGCCCCGCCACCCTGATGCCAGGTCCGAGGCAGTCGCACGCCGAGGCATTCCTCAGCAGTTGAGTAGCGCCCCCCTCCACCCCCGCCACAGAACAAGCTTTTAAGAATAAAAAGTCCCATTTGGACACGAGGGCAAGAGAGTAAAGTCAGTTAGAGAACTGAACAACCCGATTTTTTTCCCCCTACAAATTGTGCTTTGTTGAGTTGAGCTGAGACTGATGAACTGCAGTTCAGCAGCTGGAGGCTGCCTCCTGTTCTGCAGCGTTGCATCCTGCTCAAGGTCAAATCCATTCCCCCGTGAATGTCATGGTCCCTGTCCTCGCTACTCCAGCTCGTTGTCAGTGATCTGCCCCCAGATCGGGTTGGAAATTAGAAGGCTGTGCTCAGAAAGTTTCATGGCAATTGGACAGGGTAATTTATGTTTCTGTTATATAATATGGATTTCTCTCTCGTCAGTTTTTGTGTTTGGCAAGTAGATCAGAAATACTTCTGGATTGAAAATTCAATTGGAAACTTGAAGAAGGAAAACCACGGCCCATGGGGTTCGTCTGTCAGTGCCCCCGGGCCTCCCCTCCGCAGTGACCTCGTCCACTCTGCTGCGGCTCTGTTTGCCGTAGGGGCGTGCCTAGTGTGACACCCGGCTCAAATGCTGCTCCTCCTGGGAGGCAGGAGGCGGATTTAGAAAAAGAAATTCCTTATTCCTTCCATCTTTGCTGTGGCCCAACAGTCAGTCTTAATGCTTCAGAAGGCCGGGAAATGATGGAAGCAGCGATTTGAAACACTGAAGCTTTTTAAAAAATGGTTACTGATGACTAAAAATGTGTAGGAAATATGTAAGAATAGGGAAATGATGTGCATCTTGATAATCATTTACAAAGCCTTTAATAATCAACTTGAGTCTCCAATGTCAGTCTATCATAAAGCACAGTGTGGTTGAGCCTGGGTCTTTATAAGAAGAGACGGGCAGTTTGAGGTGAGCTTTGTAGTATGTTTTGAAGCAAGAATGAAGTAGTCCTGGCCAGAGCAGCTCCGAAAGAACGGTAATTTCCTCTGTAGTTACTGACAAGCTTTATTTACCCGTAGTTGTTTCTGCCAAGAACAGAATTTCCCACCATCCTGGCCAGAAACACTCATTAAATTACCTTCTGTCACTCAACAGGGAAGTCGAATCTGCAGTGACGGACAGGAGGGGCACCGGCCCCCTCGGTGGCTTCTCAGAATAAGCCAACCTTAGCTGCCTCTTGTGAGGACCCCCCCTCGTTAGAAAATGAGTTTAGGCGGGTTTCCAACAGCTGGCTTCTGCAGAATACCTTCTGCTGACTGTAAGATACGGCTGAACTGTATGTTCTCTCTTTCTGTATTAAGCAATTGGGCATTGTTTAAAAAGGCCTGATTCGAAGAGTTGGATGTGCAAACGAATTGGTTTGTATACTGCCCCCCATATTGTGGATGGGACAAAAGCAAAGAAATTCAAGGAAAAATATGGATCTTTTCATAGTTGCTATCCAGATGTCTTTTTTTTTTAACTGAACTGCATTATAAAGCAGCTTTAAATTATATTTTCAGGTATGTAGTAAAAGAAACTATAACAATTTTGAATGACATTTTTTAGGCCCTAAGAGCCTCAAGTGATGTTTTCATCCAGAAAATGGGGCGTTTGGAAGGAAAGAAAATCAACTCTTCTAACAGAGTGGAAGATGCCGACCCTGGAGCAGACGCCCATGGAGTAAGTAAGGGCTCGACCTCCGCACCCGAGGGTGACACGTCATCCAGGGCGCTAGAGGGAAGTACCGTATTGCCGGATGTCCACGCAGATCTGCTCCACCGCGGCCGTCCCGTTGGTCTGGGGAGACTTGATGACCTCACAGGTCGACCATATGTTGTAGAACATAAACACGGGCACCGCAGAGAAACCAAACACGCCCAGCCAGGCCACTCCCAGCACGTAGGTGAGGAAGACGAACTAGCAGAAAATGAGCAGGGGAAAGAATGGTCACCCACCGGGGCCGGGCGCACCCCCGAGGAGGAACGATGATGCATTTGTGGCCAAGGCTGAACTTTAGGGGTGCGGGCAGAGCACAGCCCGGGCCACAGTAGGGACCAGGGAGCAGAGAAGCGCGGGCTGGCGGGTGCAGCCGGAGGTGGCGCTCTCCAGAGTCATGGGATCGGGGATGTTACTGCAGAAGCCACTCCACGGACTGTCTGCAGGTCCCTCTTGTAGCAAAGACATGAGACCTTAAGAGATGACCTCCTTCTCCCAAGGTCACAGAGCTAGTGCCAGGGCCTCCTCCTGGCCCTCGTACACATCACTCAGTTCCCCCACTTAGTACGGGTTTGTGGCTGGATGCGTTCACGGGCCCCTGAATTCTACCTTCATACCAGTTTCCCACATTAGAGAGAGAGAGAGGTACGTAACAGCAATTGTTCCTGGAAGCCCTTTGTCCAAAGACATTGCTAGTTTCCAGATCGAGGGAAATGACTGAAGTGCAACAGCTACTCAAACCTTTCTTAAAAGCTTACAGCAGCCTGGATGGAACACAAGCTTAACCCACAGTGAATCTGATAAAAGTAATCATTTCCCTCCCTCTACTATTGGTTTTTAATCAGCTGTCAGACCCACAGCAGTGTAAGGAGGAGCACGGGGGAGGAGGGGAGGAGGGCGGGAAGA